AGGGTTTAAATTCTGTCCCTCCATCACTTTGCACCATTTTTATCCTTTGGTTTAATTGGTTTTCAACAAAATTTTTGAAGTGAGTAAAGGCTGTAAGGGTGTCCGATTTGTGTTTCAAAAAATAAATCCAAGTATACTTGGAGTAATCATCAATGAAAGCAATATAGTAGAGGCTCCCAGAAGTGGATTTGATAGGAGCAGGCCCCCACAGGTCTGTGTGCACAAGTTGTAAAGGATGATGTGAAACATGTGTAGACTGAGTGAAAGGAAGTTTGTGAGATTTTGCCATTGCACAATCTGAGCAAAAAGGATTTTTATTATTGACATAAGGGAGATTACAATCACCTAAAGCCTTCTTTGTAACAGCAAATGAGGGATGACCTAACCTTTTATGCCAAAGCTCAATAGACTTAGAACTACTAGCAACATAAACCTGCCCAACATGAGCACTAACATGATTTTTCCTCACAGTAACAGACTTCCTAGACCTATCACTCAACTCTTCATCTTCTCTCCTTCTTGAAATGACTTTACTAAGCTTGAAGGTGTATAAACCATCTTTAAGTATCCCTTTGAGAAGAGCCTGCCCTGAAACTTGATCCTTCACAGTACAAAAAGTAGGAAAAAATTCAAAAAACACATGATTGTCCTTGGCAAATTGAGCAACACTAATCAAGTTTTTAGCTATTTCAGGCACATGTAAAAGGTTATTAAGTTCAAAGGTGTGGTGTTTGGTATGATAATTTGTTTGGCTGTGAAAGAAACTCTTACCAACATGGGAAATTTCCAAACCAGCAACATTTTCAATCTGAAGCTTGGTTTGTCCTGAATAGTCTGAGGCTACATTCAACTTAGAGACGTCATTTGTGATATGGTGTGTAACACCTGAATCTGGATACCAATCCACCTCTGGGTTGTTGTCATTTGCAGCAAACATCACTGAGGATTGAGCAGAACCTTTGTTCTCATTGAAGTTCCTTTGTTGAGGCACAAAGTCAGGATTATACCTGTTGTAACATTTATCTGCAGTGTGGTTGGTATAACCACAAATTTGGCACTGCATTTTGAAGCCTCTTCCTCCTCTTCCTCTGCCATTTCTTCCTCTTCCTCTGCCTCCTTGCTGGCTGCCTCTTCCTCTTCCACCATAATGGTTGTGTGAGGGCTTATGCTCTTGAGCTGCTATATTAGCCGAGGGTAGAGTGATGTTTCCATTGACTGTTGAGGTGGTTTCAAGCCTGCTTTCATAAGTGAGCAGCAAGGACATTACATCCATCATGGTAAGCTGCTCAAATCTGGTGTTTATGCTCACCACCACTGCATCATATTCTGAGCTTAATCCACTCAAGACATGCATGATTTGATCCTTCTCTGAGATCTTGTGTCCACCAGCTGCTAAGGTGTCACAACACATCTTCACTTTGTTTACATATTCTCTGATGCTCATGTTTCCTTTCTTCAGGTTTTGTAGCTGCATCCTATAATGCATGGTTCTTGCTCTTGACTGTGTTGAGAAACTGGATTCTAAGCTTTTACAGATCTGGGATGAGCTGCTCAGTCCCACAACTGAGATCAAGATGGATTCTGACAAAGATGAGAGGAGCCAAGAAGCAAGAAGTTGGTCTTGCCTCTGCCATGAAGTGAAATCTAGATTCACTTGGAGCAGACCTTCTTCACTGCCAGGTATGAATCTTGTGGGAACTTCTGTGGATCCATTATGAAAACCTTCGAGTCCATAACCTCTAACAGTGGTAAGGACTTGTTGCCTCCAAATTAAATGATTCTCATCAGTGAGTTTGAAGGAGATAAGTTGATTGTGGAGTTGTATGGGTTGAGCAGTGAAAGGAGGGTTGTTGTGCTGTGTGGATGTACCAGAGTGGGTTGCCATCTCTTCAACAATGGATCAAAGCAAGTTATCCCTGCTCTGATACCATATTGGAGATAAAGCAAATCATACTTTAAATTCAACAAGAAAATGTTTTGCAACAAAAGGAAAACAAAGAGTAAAGCTGCGCAAGATCTGATTTCTTTCTCATTAGGGTTTGAGTACAATAGTTCCTTCTTATATAGCTAGCTATCAAATATCTACAAGAGGTAAAAAGTGAAAGCAGTTCGTGGTGAGCTGTGCATGATGAGCTATGCATGGTGACAAAAGATCCCAACGGTTCTGGTACTGCATGAGTGAAAAAGAGAACATGTGATATGCATGAAGGGTAAATATGATGTGTAAGGTAAAAACCACGTGGATCAATACGTGGATCAACTAATTGCCAACACATTTTATTCAACAAAGGAAGTACGAGCTTCTTTACTAGAACTTTTTTAGTCTTGATCACACCCAATTTGAATATCCCCAATATTATTGATATAACTAAATAATATCAATAAATTATTTTTATAAATCACATCAACTAATTCACTATTAATTCACTCACATAATTTTAACTAACCTTCACATCAAATTATCTCTTTCCTACTTTTACATCAAATCAATTTTATTTATTTTAGTTCAAATATTATTTTAACATAAATCCAAAATCCCACTAACTAACCATATTAAATTTTTTCAAATTAACCTTGATTGATAAAAAAATTCATTATGAGCGGATATATTTGTATACAAACACACCCTAAATATGCCTACCAACAATTTAGCAAGGGATTTTTTACCTCCTAAAGTATACCTTGTTTTTTTAACTTTTCCTTACGAACTTTTTTCCTTGACAGATTGTCTCACAAAGTATATGAAGCAAACAAATTGCCTCTTCTATTGAAAACCCTAACATGACACAAAAAAATTTTCACTCAATTAATAATAAATTTTGAATCGGTCTCTAAAGTTGAATCAGGGATTTTGAAGCCCAAAGGCAGACTAACAAAATGAAATATGGTATATCAATTTCTAAAAAATTTGATAAATTGATCGATTGAGAAGCTAGGCACACGCGTGTGTAGAAAAAACTTTGGTTTAACTTTTTTGATAATCAAGATACATAATTTTCGATTAGGAGGTATTATTGAAAGCGTGCAGGACGAGTTTCTAACAAGATATATCGTATGAAAAATTCAACATTTGGATTCTAATCAGTAGTCAAACAAATTAATAAGTACCTAGTTTTTTAGGCTACTAATTAACCGAAATTCAACTATTGGACTGTCATAAAATTTACCTCGTTAGAAAACTCATTCTGCAAAACTTTCAAATGACACCTCTCAATTAAAATTGAATATCTTGAAAAGTTGATGAACTGAAGTTTTTTCTATACTCACGTGCGCCTACCATCTTCGTCTTGTACCAAAAAAATATATCTTAGTCTTGTACCAATATATATATATATATGTGTGTGTGTGTGTGTGTGTGTGTGTGTGTGTGTGAGTCCATAAATAAAAGTTGTAAAGAAACTAAATATTTAACTATATGATCTAGGTAAACTAAATATTCCATAGAGAAAAATTGCAAATGAAACTAAATTTTTAACTAAAAGATGTAGAAAAATTAAAATAATTCAAATAAAAAATAAAGGTACCAAACAAAAAGCCGAAAAAGATCAATAAAACTAACACTAAGAATTCATAATTTCATTGTAGTATTAAATATTATTTAAAAAAAATTGTATCGTTTCGATTTCGTTCAGTTTTAAACTCATTGATTAGCACTAGATGTTCGTTTGAACTCATTCAAGCTCAAAAATAAAAATTAAATTAAATTAAATAACTTCATATTTTAGACTTTTTATAAAAAGATATTATATATATATAAACATGAAAAATAAAATAAAATTGTATTAAATTAATGTTCGTGAATATTATTGAACGTTTGCGAACAAGCTCGAGTTTGTTCAATTGTTAAACGAACCTAGTTGTCTTGATCTCGACTTGATTAACAAAAGACTAAGCTCTTATTGAGCATGAACGGTTTGTTAAAATTTTATATTTATAACGCTTTTTAAGTGCGTCACAAACACATCAATTTTAAATATATTTATTAAAAAAGTCCCCATATTTATGTTGTTAGAACTCCTTTTTGTTGTAGTGTGATCTACTAATTGAACTTTTAGATAAGAAAGTGGGGCATTGAGTTTAGCTCATTTTGTCCACTTCAAGCATTTTTCTCAAAGTAGCTCCGTATGAACCTTGCTCTAGTGTTCGAGGCTTGTAAAAAAGATAAATGAAATATTTATGTTTTATATTAAAATTATATAAATTAGAATATGCTACAATTTTCAATCTTTAACTTGAAACCATCTATATGTATTTGTAACATAGGGAGTTAGTCACAAAATTAGTTACTAATACAAATACAATTGTTTAAAGTACATTCCATTTTTGAAAGTATATTTCGTATCTAAATCATTGTTACTATTGTAACAACTAAAATTTAGTTGTTTTGGTTACTAATGCACCAATTTCTAGTAGTANTATTCCTTTTAACAAACACCGTGACTGCCTTGTGAGATAAACTTCACTTTGGCCTTGCACGCACGTGCAGGGACGCTCAAGGTAGAGGGGACCATGTGAGAGAGTGATATGGAACATGTAGAGAACGAGTTTTCGGCTGTAGTCGAGAATCGTTCAAAATATGTTTGTTGGCGAAAATCATAATGTACGAGATTTCATTCTTTCTCTATTTTAGGAGTAAAGTTATTTTCCATATTTTATATTTTATTTTTATAATTTGTTCTTGTTTTGTTTAGGAGAGCTGATTTGATGTACAATAACACATTAGATTGCGTATGAATTGAGTTATTTTATACACAAATACACCCTATATTTTACTTACATTTGATATCATTATCATCAGTAAGTCATCCTATTTATTATTAACTTACGTTTGATATTTTTTTCAGTAAGTCATCCTATTTATTATTGACCCTAGTAATAAATATTAGAAGATTAAAGACCTAGGCGCCATCTAAATGAGAATTTACCAAGTCAATCTATATTTGAATAAAGTAAAACAAATTCCCGCGATAGAAGTCACGCTACGTTACTGTAAGGGAGAACTTTCTATTCCCTTAGCCACTCCCCTAAACTCCCTTACTGCAACTATAAAATGGTACACTTTCAAATTCTCCAACACACACAAGCACAAACCCGCAGTACTCTATTTACAAATCTGTAACAACAATTTCTGTAGCAATGGCGGCAAACTCATCTTCCCCATCCCTAATTGGGCCCGACCCGCTTCAGTTAATCGAACATATGACCCAAAATGCTGGTTCGGTCCAAGAAAGTTTGCTGACCCAAATCCTTGCCCAAAATGCGGAGACTGAATATCTCAAAGGTTTTAGTGTCAACGGAGTAATGGACTTGGAGGCCTTCAAATCGCAGGTCCCTTTGGTAACCTACGAAGATATCCAGCCGTTGATCCGGAGAATGGCTGATGGTGATCACTCGCCCATTTTATGTGCTCAACCCATCTCTCAATTCCTCATCAGGTGATCATTTTATTATGGGAGAACACAACTATTGCATTCTGATGAGATTCTTATTTTATATATTTGGGAATGTTAGCTAGTCCAGTTACATTTTTGCTAGTCCACCAACACAAGTAACATTTTTATTTATTTAATTTTATTATATAAAAAAGGTTAGTTTTTCGAAAAGATGTCAAGGTTTACAAACTCATGGAGTAGGATAAGATATTTTGTTTTCTTCTCAAAAACAGCTCAGGAAGTGTGGGAGAACCAAAGCTGATTCCATCCACCAAAGAAGTACTGGAACGTACTCTGCTTTTCTGCAGTCTTCTAATGCCTGTTATAAACAAGTGAGTATGCAGATTTGGATCCGGAAATATTTTTAATTCTTGTATTTGTTGGAATATTACTTGTGAGTCGTTCCACATTAATTTGATAAGGTAATTGAGTCTAGTTTATAAGTCTAGTGAGCTACTCTTTCCATCACCAATTGATTTTGGGATAGAACCTCACTAAGGTGCACCTAGGGTCACTTTCTTATGCTGCAGTTCACTGTGTGGAACCGCAACTCTGATTCCACGATTATCAAAAAATTTGACAATATTAGTATAATCATGTTATGTTTTTTTGAATAAATATTGGATAGGCACATGAAAGGACTCGACGGAGGCATCGGACTCAATTTCATGTTCACGAGGTCCGACGCAAGAACCCGCGGTGGAACCCTAGCGCGCCTCTCGACCTCAAGCCTCTACAAGAGTGACATCATGAAAAACCGGCCAGCCAACATCTACACGAGCCCGAACGAAGCCATCTACTGCCCCGACCCCTTCCAGAGCACCTACACCCAACTTTTGTGTGGGCTATACAACCGCTCACGTGTCGACCGAATCGAAACCACATTCGCCTCAACCCTCGTCCGAGTCATCAAGTTCCTCCACACCAACTGGAAGCAACTCACCCACGACATACGAACCGGGTCCCTCGACCCTAGAGTCACCGACGAGTCGATCCGCGGATACATGTCCCGAACTTATAACAAACCCGACCCAGAACTGGCGGACTCCATCGCTTCTGAGTGCGCGAACGACGACAACTGGGAAGGAATAATCACGCGAATCTGGCCCCACGCGAAATATCTCTGGACCATCGCCACCGGAACCATGGCTCAGTACATCCCGACTCTCAACTACTACAGTGGCGGGCTCCCGATAGTTTCCATGACTTACGCATCCTCCGAGTCCTACCTCGGCATCAACCTTCACCCCACGTGCAAAACTTCTGAGGTCTCCTACACTTTCATGCCATTCATCGCCTACTTCGAGTTCCTGCCCAGCACCGGCCAGCACTCGGAGCAGAAGCCCGTTGACTTGGTCAACGTAGAGATCGGAAAGGAGTACGAGGTTGTGGTCACCAACGGGGCCGGGCTTTACCGGTATCGACTCGGGGACATCGTGCTTGTCACTGGGTTCTACAACTCGGCCCCACAGTTCCGGTTCGTGAGACGGAAAGACGTGGTGCTCAACATTGAGTGGGAGAAGACGAAGGAGACCGAGCTTCAGGCGGCGGTCGAGAAGGCGGCTAATAAGCTGCTACGCCCGTTGGGGATGGGTGTGGCGGACTACACGAGCTTTGTGGACACGACGAGTGTCCCGGACCACTATGTGATGTACTGGGAGCTGATGGGCACGGGAAGTAATTGGCCGGGGGATGAGGTGCTTGGGCAGTGTTGCTTTGAGGTGGAGGAGTCTCTTAATCTGGCTTATCGGACTTTGAGGGCGGGGGATGGGCCGATTGGGCCGCTGGAGATACGAGTGGTGGGGAGTGGGGCGTTTGAGGAGGTGATGGAGAGTGCGGTTGCGAGGGGCGTGTCGATTAGTCAGTATAAGGTGCCGAGGTGCGTGGGGGGGTTTAAGCAGGTGATGGATATTCTTGAGGCGCGGGTTGTTTCGAAGCACTTCAGCCCGGCAACTCCGAGGGTGTCCTGAGATGGCGGTGGCGACGTGGCCTTGGAAAATAAAGTCAACGTGATTGGAGAATGACGGGCACTCGCGTGTGGGGTTGACGATGATCTCTGTCTTGTATTCTATTTTCGTTTTACTTTTGCGGAATGGAAATGATTTGTGATCAGTGCAGGTATGGGATTGAAGGGTTCATCTGGTGAACTACGTACCTAGTCTCGTACTGAAAATTCTAATGGTTTGTTCTGACCGGAATTATGGGGATTAAAATAGTATACCACTGTCAAGGGATTTGATTTCGATTTTCATGTCTCCGTCACATACATTTAAATTTGATAGTCTATGCATAAAAGTCTAAATTGAAATAAATTATTTAGGTGTAATCATTTGACATTCTTATATGCCTACTTAAATATATTAATATTTATACAATAAAAATTTAAATAATTTATATTTTTATAATGAAATTATGTATGATGAATATGCAACAATAAAGAATAACTAACAAAGTCTAAATTGTCTCATTGTCTTTTTTTTTTCACTGTTGAAGAATCAAGAAAAGATATTTAACTAAATTTTGTAAGCATTATGTATGATGCAAAAATTTGGACAATAAATGCATTAAAGAAGTTATTAGACACATAGTTATTGCAAATCCGAATGAATGTGAAAGATATTATGAAAAACAACTCTGAAATCATTGCAACAACCAAGATGATCAATGATTTGCAAATAATAGATTATATAGTTCATTTATCTTCCAAATAAATAACATTAAAGAGCGAATATCGGAGCCTGATCAAAATATTTCTGAATGTTTGAATGAAGTTGTCACTTTTTTATAGAAATATTTACAATTTCATTAGTGTATTGTGCTTGAACATATGTGCAATTACTTTAGAGTATATACTAATGTGTGATGATTACAAAAAATAATTTAGCATCTCGGGAGAAGTATATGTAACAAAGTTATTTAAATATCAACTTTTATTTGGAGATGAAACTCATTCTCACCCCGTGGGGTGATGTCTTCATAGTGCAGGTACCAACTTGTCTATATGGAGAGAGAATAATGTAGTAGTTTATATAATGATAAAAAAATATCAGCAATCTTAATGATACGATTGATTATTTCGCAGAGATATTCATGATCTGTTAGTAGAAATACAATACAATAATGATGTTTGACTATATGTTTGACCAAAATATTTTTAATTGTTTAAATAAAGTAGACTTTTTTTTCGGAAGGTTAAAATTTTAGAAAGAAACACACATAATTACATCTAGAAACAACCAAATAGCTAAAAGAAGTAGCTATAGAGCTGAATCTAGTTGGAGGACAGACCCAGAGGTCGCTAGAACCTGCACTAGAAACACAAAACAACACACCCACCAACACAAACTACAACTCCCACAGGTGGAGAAAAACATGCTCCCACAAGCCAGAAGCCAGGGAATAAACGAAGCGGAGCGAAGTGAAGTCAAGAATAAGGGTGCGGAGAAACACACTCACAACAGGAGAGAAACATAAAAACCAAAACCTACCGCCCACAATGAGACACTAACACTAAAGATACAAACACACAACACAACCATCAAACAAAAAATTAGACAAAAACTAGACTAAGTCCTTTCCACAGCCGAAGAGCACACCGAGAGCAACCCAACGGCGGAACTCCCGGCCAACCACCAAAACACGCCGACCACGCCCCAAGAAGCCGCTTCAGAAACTGTCGAGCCCGCCTAACTGGAGGCGCAACCCGAAGACCCAATCCCGTGCCCAGACGGTCAGCCCCAGCCACGCACCGGAGAAACGCCAACCTAACCCCCACACAGCACCGCCGCCCCGAACCCAGCCCGCACCACGAACCGAGAAAGGTAAAAGCGTCGGCCGCCCCTTAACCCAAACACTAGGGGAGGGCAAGAGAGGAGGGCCGACGTTCCTCCACCCCAACCACCACAACTAGCAACCAGTGTCATAGTGACCACCCAAAACCACCGCTACCCACCTCTACCGCGAAGTCGAAAGCCGAAGGCCTACCGCACCCGAACGTGTACAGAATGAACGCCGTCAACCGCCAAGGACGCTCACCACGGGCAGATGCAGATATGTATGTATAATATGTAAATATAATATGTATGTATAATATATAATATATAATATTATGTATATTTAAGTACTTTTCCCCACTTAAAATATATATTAAAGTAATTAATCTCTCTTCCTTGAGAGTTGCACTCTCTTTCTTTCTTTTGCTTTAACAAGTTATATAATATAAAAAATTAAGTTAAATAAGTGTTCTTTACACCATTAAATAAATAATTAAAATAAACATAATAAAAGATTACAAAAAACAAAAATTGGGTTTATGCACGCAACTGATAAGACGGGGAGTGAAGTGAAGAGGCAGACAAACGAAAAAAACACAAACTTGAGCATTCATCACCCGATCAGATAATAATATTTATATGTACTTTTATTTACTATGATATTATTTATTTATTCTTTACTTGAATCTAGATTTTGATAATGTGGTTGGGAATATNTAAGAGAGGATTTTTGAAACATTTTCTTTTCTCAAACTTATCAACTTATTGCCAGGGGTGGATCCATATGTAGGCAAGCCTAGGCTCAATTTTTTGTACTAACTGTTGATAAACGGATTTGTATCAATGAAAATTACACCCCTATTCTATGAATAATCGGTGTAGGATCAATTGTGTATTTTTATTCATTTTTGAGAGAGAAATGTTCATCTCCTTTTTCTGGGTTTTTTGGTTTGTGTGTTTGTAGATCCAATAATGCATCCTCCCCCCTCCCTTATCTCTCACGACCCTATCTATATCTCTCACTTTTTTACACAAGTGAGCCAAGTGGGCCTATTAAAATAAAGATAAAGAGGACAATAGTATTGAATGCGATATGACATTGTGGGGCCCGATCGTGACACTTGACGGCTTCGAATGACGTTTACTTTATCGGCAATTATTGTGTCTGTCGGACTCGAATCTTCTCGATATTCTGGATGGGCTGATGATATCAATTCTACCCAGCTCGAGTACGGATGATCTGGGCACTTGGGAACTCGGTCGATATTAAATAATCAGCTCAGAAAACCTGGTATATTTATATGTATTTAATACATATATCCACGTGTAATATTTTAATAAGCGAGGCCAAAATTTGATGTCAACATAGAGGCCCCTGACTTTAGGACATGTTCTGAATAGAACTGTTCTGAAGTCATACGTAAAATGAATTGTGGCTGCGATAAATGATGCATTGATGTTGGCCGGGTACTTTGGGACCGTGGATGTTTTGTTGATCGTTTTCAGGCTTTGGCCTGACGTTTGGCATGTCATTCGCACTTTATGCTCTTTGATGAGCTAAGTCGGCGAAATGGACAATTTTTTAAAATTAATATAGAATGGGGCCTGAGAGGCCTAGTTGGGTAATTTGGAACCCGTTATTTGACATAATGCTCGTTGAACGAGTCAAATTTTGGATAGGAGAAGTAACGGTTCTGTTGATCGATACGGAAGGCGCTCGGGCCTCTGCGAAGGTTTTTTGCGACTTCTTTTCTATGCATTTTTTATGGTAGGCTCTGTTTGGCCTTTTTTATTTTTTAGGGCATTTCGGCCGACCAAAACCACTATGGAGGTTTGGTTAATTTTAATTTCATTTTTAGTCAGTTTGTTAGTCCGACTTAAGGCACTTTCGGCCTTTTTTCAGAACGTCAATTAAAAAACCGATTTGAGGCACTTTGGGCCCTTTTTTTTCAGAACGTCGGTTAAAAACCGACTTGGGGCACTTTGGGCCCCTTTTTTCAGAACGTCGGTTAAAAACCGACTTGGGGCACTCTGGGCCCCTTTTTTCAGAACGCCAGTTTAAAAACCGACTTGGGGCACTTTGGGCCTCTTTTTTCATAACGCCAGTTTAAAACCGACTTGGGGCACTTTGGGCCTCTTTTTTCAGAACGCCGGCTCAGCCGGAGTCGAAGCTCTACGGCGAGGAAATATAGACGTCGCTCAGCCGGAGTCGAAGCTCTACGGCGAGGAAATATGGACGTCAACTCAGCCGGAGTTGGGCTCAACGGCGAGGAAATATAGATGTCGCTCAGCCGGAGTTGAAGCTCTACGGCGAGGAAATATAGACGTCGCTCAGCCGGAGTCGAAGCTCTACGGCGAGGAAATATGGACGTCAACTCAGCCGGAGTTGGGCTCAACGGCGAGGAAATATAGATGTCGCTCAGCCGGAGTTGAAGCTCTACGGCGAGGAAATATAGACGTCGCTCAGCCGGAGTCGAAGCTCTACGGCGAGGAAATATGGACGTCAACTCAGCCGGAGTTGGGCTCAACGGCGAGGAAATATAGATGTCGCTCAGCCGGAGTTGAAGCTCTACGGCGAGGAAATATAGACGTCGCTCAGCCGGAGTCGAAGCTCTACGGCGAGGAAATATGGACGTCAACTCAGCCGGAGTTGGGCTCAACGGCGAGGAAATATAGATGTCGCTCAGCCGGAGTTGAAGCTCTACGGCGAGGAAATATAGACGTCGCTCAGCCGGAGTCGAAGCTCTACGGCGAGGAAATATGGACGTCGCTCAGCCAGAGTCGAAGCTCTACGGCGAGGAAATATAGACTCGCTCAGCCGGAGTCGAAGCTCTACGGCGAGGAAATATAGACTCGCTCAGCCGGAGTCGAAACTCTACGGCGAGGAAATATGGACGTCAACTCAGCCAGAGTCGGGCTCAACAGCGAGGAAATATAGACGTCGCTCAGCCAGAGTCGAAGCTCTACGACGAGAAGATATAGACGTCGTAAATAGATGTCCGGTCACGGCGTGAATGAATAAGTCGTTCTAGCTCCCAGCATAGATAAGTGACTTCGGCTATGACATTGAAATGATCTCGGCCCCGTCATTGATAAGTGATTCCGGCCCCGGCGTAGGTAAGTGAGGTCGGAGGTGAGCGAATAGTGAACCGGTCCAGTGGAACCGGGCTTGTCTGCGGACGGATAATACCTCGATTCAGGAGAGCTGGTCACATCGGCAAGCAAATGATCAATTAGCCCGAAGTGAATGAAACGAGACTCGTCGATAGGAGAATAATAAATTGGCCCGGGAAGAAGTCTGTCAAGTGGCTCAGGAAATGGCCGGATAAGGGTGCCAGCGCGGTGATTTGGATGCTCCAGTTGACTGGGTGATTTAGGAGCTTGGATTCTGCTTCTCTATCCGCGAGGTTGGGCCCCGGTTGGAAGTCTGGGCTCGATTGTGAAGTCATCCCCATCTTGAGTGATCGAACAAATGTTGAGGTCGATCGGGCGATGAAGTCGGGCGATTTGTGGTGGTGATTAGTTAGGTCGTCCATAATTAGGTCACAATTTTGGGCTCGACTGTGATCATGTGGCTTGGTAATCTTTGAGGTTGGTCGTCCATCAAGCGACTTGGTGATCAACCGTTGTAAGGTCAGCCAATGAGTCGGCCCGTCAATTACGAGGTCGATGGTTTGATGTTGGCCCGAAGGATCGAACCGAACGACGGAGTGGTTGGCCCGGGCGTGGTTGTTTTTGCAACGTGACGTGGTGACCGACTTGTTGGCATGAGCGACCATTTTTGCAGAATGCGGTGCAATAGCCGTCTCGTTGGCATGAAGGCCGTGTTTTGCAGAATGTCGGTCTCTTGGGCAGGTGCGAGGTGTAGGCCTAAGTATATTATCGTCCGGAGAGGTCGGCTCTTTTTCTGTCTCCCTTCTTCAGGTTTCCACTGAGCTCCTTGACTTCAAGCTTTCGATTACTTCTCAGTCTCGGCGCTCTAAAGCTTAATTTTATCTATTACAAAGTGTTTTCTGGGCCCAATATCTTTACAATATCTAAATAATTTTACAAGCCCGTGTTTACTAAATCAATGGGTCCATTTTTTTTGTTGGTATGAATAGGCCCAAATTTCAATATAATACCAGCATAGCAAGAGAAAAGAAATCATATTTACGCTCGAATTAATATCATTGACACGCAACCAAGTGGCTGCGGGGAGAAGAGGTCCGACTTCTGTCATGCAGAGGCGGCGAAATTTGAGGGTCTTCCCATGCGATTTGGAGATCGCAGCTCCACAATCGGTGATTTTGGAGTTCGTCGGCGGGTAGAGAAAGGTCAGACTTCGGTTTGTGAAGAAGTCGGATTTCAGCTACGAGGTCGATTCGACTCTTGCCGAAGTCGGTTTGAAGACGACAAGCTCGGTCCCGGTGGGCAGCTCGGCGATCGCGAGTTGAGATCGGGAAAGGTGAGATTGACCTTGGTTGTGAAACGATTGGTGAAATTGGGAAAGGTGAAGTCGGGTTCCCACGACTGAGGTCGATCGGCGAGGTTGGAGCCGATCTGGAGATGACGAGGTCAGTCGATTTTAAAGGTTGAAATTGGTCGGATTTGCGTCGGGCTCAGAGCAATGGTGAAGTCGACCCGGGCTGTGATTTAGGGGTTATCGATCGCGAGGTCGGGCCCTGCGTTTTGAGGTGAAGTCAATTGCTTCGGAGGCCTGTCCGAGATCTGAGGTCAACCGGAGTATGATGAGGTCGGGCCCGTCAATTTATGGTGAGTCGGCCGGGGACGTGTCCAGCCGAGGTAAGCCTCGATTTCACTTTTCGGGGCTGATTGTAGTGAAATCAAGCACTGATGGGCTGAAGTTAGTGATGAGGGTGTGATCGAGACCCGTCGACTGAGGTCGGAAGTCGGAGGTCGGCCCAACGGTGAAAAATTTTGGCTTTAGTGACCAACGTCGGGTTTCGAGGTCGGCGGTCAGCGTGGTAGGGTCCTGATGACTGAATCGGAGATACCGAGGTCGGTTTGGAAAGGGAGAGGTTGTCCGACGTGGGAGATCGACTCCAAGACGGTACAAACTAATGCCTCCGATTTTGAAGGTCGGATCTCTGTGACTGAGAAGCTCAGTTGTTATTCTGGAGTTTGAAGAGGTCGGACTTGGTCTGTTGCAGGATCGGTTCTGACCGTCAGTGGTGAGGTCAGCCCCAACCGAATCGAGAATCTCGGTAGTCCGGCACAGGAGGCGACTGTTCTGCTGCTCATCGGCGAACGAAGAGGTCGTAAAGTGACCGACCTCCAACAGCTTTTGAAGTTAGTGAAAAGAATGGTCTGAGACGCTCTTTATAAATGATGAGGTCGGAGCTCGGTCACCGAAGTCGGTTTTTAGCTGGTTTGCGCATCTGAGATCGTGATTTTTGCAGGTAAAAGGCCGGACATTATTTGTGATCGGGCCGGACTCGCTTTCCCAACTTGTGAGTTCTATTTTTCGGTCTGCAAGTGCAACAGTAGAGAAATTTTGTTTTGCGGCTGGGGTTGATATGGGATCTTTGGATTTTTGTGAGATGACTTTTTTTTTTGAAGTGATAAGAAAAACAAAAGGTGATAATAGGCAACGTGCCCGATCGTATCCAAAACAAAGGGAAACATGGGGATGTGGCTTTTGTGTCCAAGTTCTCAAAAGCAGAAATAACGTAAAGTTATCTTCTTCTGCCAAACATATGTTCTCAAACCCCCCCCCACATAATAATAATAATAGTACNAAATCTTGCAGCAACAGCAAAGAAAATTGAATTTTTTATGAAAGCGTAGATGCAGAACTGTTTTCGATCTAGAGAGGAAGAGATCTATTTTCTGGGATGATTTTTCGAGAAGGAGCAAAAGAATCGGCTAGGAAAATACAAATATTGTCGGATTTACCTAGAATTTGAAACAAGAATTGATGGTATTCGTGGTGTTCTATAAGTCGGAGAATTACCTCGAATAAATTACGAGGCCCTTCTTCTAGCGCCAAAATGTTGATAAACGGATTTGTATCAACGAAAATTACACCCCTATTCTGTGAATAATCGGTGTAGGATCAATTATGTATTTTTATTCATTTTTGAGAGAGAAATGTTCATCTCCTTTTTCTTGGTTTTTTGGTTTGTGTGTTTGTAGATCCAATAATGCATCCTCCCCCCTCCCTTATCTCTCACGACCCTATCTATATCTCTCACTTTTTTACACAAGTGGGCCAAGTGGGTCTATTAAAATAAAGATAAATGGGACAATAGTATTGAATGCGATATGACATTGTGGGGCCCGATCGTGACACTTGACGGCTTCGAATGACGTCTACTTTATCGGCAATTATTGTGTCTGTCGGACTCGAATCTTCTCGATGTTCTGGTCGGGCTGATGATATCAATTCTACCCAGCTCGAGTACGGATGATCTGGGAACTTGGGAACTCGGTCGATATTAAATAATCAGCTCAGAGAACCTGCTATATTTATATTTATTTAATACATATATCCACGTGTAATATTTTAATAGGCGAGGCCAAAATTTGATGTCAACACTAACATAGTTAACATGTGCTAATAAAAATTTATATTTAATATATGTAAAAATATAAATACAAGTTTTTATTTTAAAATTTTAAATAATTCTTACAAAATACCATTATTGTTTTTATTTAAACTGATACACCTCACCGGTCAGATTCGACGATATTATATTATAAATTTTTTAGTACTTATACCATGTAATAAGTTTGATAGATAAATTTATTGTTTTTCAATTATATTGATAAATATTTAATTTTTTATTGATATAGATCAAATAGAAATAATTATTTTAATTTACATATAAAATATTAATGTCAAATTATAAATTGTCAAAATAGACTAATTTAAGTTATCATATATAAAAAATGATCATATGTATAAATGTTATTGACTTTTAAAATATATTTACAATTTAAGTTACCCAAACATTTAAATTTGGAAGTTCTGGATGAAGATCCATATTTGTATGGACTATTTCGAATCCTAAGGAATTAACATATTGAATTACAAAGAGTTGAAAACTAACAATGAAAAACTCTACATTTATCAATAATAAGATAATTCATAAGTAAATCTTTATAAAATAACAAGAACAAAAATGATGACATTTAGACTTTTCTTAAATTAATAAGTTATATTTCAAAATGACTTGTTTATTTCTTATTACAAAAAAATGAAGGAAAAAGGATTGTAAAATATTTTTAGCATATTTCTTAATAATAATAAAAACACAAAATATAATAACCAGAACTCATTCTCATTTTTATTTTTTAGCATCAAGTCAGAGACAAATTAAATAAGGAATCCCTCAACACCCGATTATTTCAACGATTTATTTAATTTTTAATATAAGTACTTCGTGCAATATGGTTACAAATTTCATCGAACTAATTTTTGACCTGACTCATGAAAATTTCTAGGTCCGCCGCAGGCTATTGCCTTTCCTACCTCCAACAACAGCAGGAAGAACGAGTTGAATATTTTACAGGGAAATGCTATAGTCTCGTTATCGAACCATTCCGTCGGGGTTTGTAACCGTTAAATCATCATGTAACCGTCGAGGATAGATGATCTAACAGTTACAAATTCTGACGGAATGATTCCGGAACCCTAGCATATCCTATTAAAAACTGGTATATTGACAAAAGGCCCGGAACTTGCGAAATGGCCATGTGGAAACTGCTATTATAATCGTGTGTGCTCATCTCAATGGGTATTATTTTAATATATTCTATAAACAGCATCTTTGGGGGAGATGGACGAAATTTAATTTAGTTGATCTGATTGGCAATCTATGCGTGAAGAAAAATACCAAAATCTAATAACTCCCGTTTGCTCACTAGTCACTTCCCCCTCTCAATCAATGGCGTCTAACTCGAATTCACCCTCACCGCTCATGGGCCTTGAATTGATAGAGGATATGACTCGGAATGCCGGTGCAGTCCAAGAGAAGATGTTGGCTGAAATCCTGGCCCAAAATGCACACACTGAATATCTCAAACCCTTCAATCTCGGGCAGGCCACCGACCGAAACACCTTCAAATCAAAGGTTCCAATAGTTACCTATGAAGATATCAAGCCGTTGATCCAAAGAATAGCCGACGGCGATCGCTCCCCTATTTTGTGTGCTCAACCTGTTACCGCTTTCATCATGAGGTGATTCTATAATAATTTATCTATCTATATCTATCTATCTATCTATATTATTATAAAAGGACTTGTAAAAATTTGAATAGACTAAAAAGTCTTTGTATATGATATATTTTTAATGGTAAAATTGTAATCAAATTAAGTAGTTGAATTGAAAAGAAAAACTCAATCCCATTGAAAATTTATAAATTTTGGACTCTATCACGATATTCAAAGAAGAAATATTATAAATTATTCATTTTGTTCTATAATAATTTATGTTTTATCAAAGTGAACATATGATGTAAAATAACTCATTTATCCCATTGGTAGCCGCTAAAAAATGTCAAACGGAAATGCCAAAATAGAAAGAGCTAATGAACATCACAATTAAAGGTTAATGAGCATAACTGTAAACTAAAATTATAAAACATATCATTTTTTTAATAGAGATCTTTTTCTGAATAGCAAGCTCAAAAGATACATGAGACTATCATGATGAACTCTATAAATTAGATTGAAATGCTCATGCTGACTTAATGTAAAGATATAAAATAAAATTTTAAATTAAAAATAAGACAATTCATAACTAACTTACCTTATATGAAATAATTTATTATTAAAAAATTATTATTCAATAACAAGTTTTGACAAACTAAAATTTTGTTTGTATTTATTTTATTTGTCATACTATATAGTAACTTTGATTTTAAAAGACATATTAATTAATTATTTTAGTATCATTATTGGTGATTGAAATAATTATATACATCCATATATCGTGATTTTGAAATGATATTTAAGTTTTTAGTTTTAAATTTAACATTGTTCATCTTCTGTGATTCACTTTATATTATTTTGCACAATCGCAATCGCAATATACTGAACATCAAGTGTGCTTTTAGCCGAAAACAATCTTTTCAATATACATATTTTAAAACTTTACATTCCAAAAGGGAAAAATCAATTATAATTCATCATAAGGTTTATTTTTTTATGTTTTAAACTATAAAGCTAAATTATTGAAATTTTATGTTAAATGAGATTGAGTACCATATGCTTATTAACAAAATAAAAAATAAAGTGGTATTTCAACGAGAAAAAAATTGTTCAAATAACTATAACTATAGATAGATCAAGTGAAGAAAATATACAAAAATTATGTCATTATAAACGAGAAAATAACATGAGAAATTTAAGAAGATTTGACTAGCAATATATTAATTGAGTTATGGTTTTATAAATTGCGAATAAAAATAATCTATCTATATACTATATACTATTATAAAAGAACGAGTGATTTTTTAAATATATGAACTATCTAAAAAATCATTATTTTGACTTATTTTTAATGGTAAATTAGTAATATACTGATAACCATCAGATTTTATATTTTTAGTTAATAAATAATTCTAAATATACAAACTTAACATTAATTAAGAGAAGATACCTAAAATTTTACTAAAATCATATACCGTGATATATATACATAATCTAACAAATTAGAAAAGTGAACAATTCATTTAACTGTTTTACTATTTAAGAAAATAAACTCTTTTATTTAGAATTAATATAGAAATTGAACCTTTATTCTATTGGATTTGATATTGATCCTAGAAAAATCGTCGTTTGTTTGTTTGTTTTTGTTTATTTTATTTTGGTCACAAAGTCAATAAAGTTAATGAATCTTCACCTGACCATTCAAATATCAAGGTGAATAATATTTTAATTATTAACACTTAAAATATTTAAATTTTTTCATTCAATAATTAACTAAAATATATCATGATATTTTAATTATTATTACTTACTACTACATAAAAATTCTTATTTTAAGAAGGAATACAAAAAAAATTGCTATATTGCAATGAGAAACCTGAAGGCGATATTCCGCTCAAAATTCCAACGAATATTTCAGTAGTATAACTTTCATTGGAAATTTTTATTGACTATTCCAACAAATATCAAATTAAATTACATTTGAGTTTAATGATTTAATGATTCTAATTACCATTAATTATTGTTGTGTGAATTGCCGTTAATTTTTTTTTTCTCAGATCGTATTTCAACAGTTGACAAAATTGTAGTAGGAAATTGTAAAAAAAATCAATATAAGATTCATTGAAAAACTATTTGCAGTGGCATATCCAAAATAATTTCATATTGGGGAATAGTTAGTTAATAGAAAAAGGATACAATCAAAATAACATAATGTCACTATAATTTAAAAATTATAATTTTCATAATTTGTCATATTTCTCATTGGCAATATATTTTTAAGTTTTAACGCAACAATACAGTCACAATAAGTTAAAAAATATTTAAGAAAAAAGCATAATATTTTTCAATTCAACATAAGAAAATCATTGAAAATAATATATTTTTTAAAATTTTTATGAACAAAAAATTTATATTGTAGTATAGTTTACTCAGCTGGACTATATTATTGATGAATTTATAAATTATGAACATATAGCTAGAATTCCACATACGTTAGTTAAAAAAGATATAAAAAAATATGTTTTGATGTTAGAGAAAACATTAAGTTGCAAAAAATAAAAAATCTATATATATTGAAAAAGATAGGTCAATAAATCATTTGTGGAAACTTTTAAAAAATTGGTCAACAACTCCATTGACTTTCCATTTGTAGAAACTAATTTAAAAATCCTTTCAAAATATATGTTTTTTTTTTCCCTGTTTTTTAGGTAACAGTCCCGCGATTTAAAAATAATCTCATATATATAAACTTTATTTTCGGAATCAAAGCAGCGTTTTAGCAAATCTGATATATTTTGGAATCAAAGCCGTGTTTTAGTATATCATATAGGTGTTACTTTATTTTATGTGCTATCAATAAAAATTTGATACTAAACTAATAATGGAGATTCTTTTACTTTTTAATTAGCAATAGATAATAAAAAAAAGCAATATGTTTTTATATAAAAGATTCAATATGTTATTTAAAAAAATAAGTACATATAATTATAACTTTATATATGGTTGCGCCAATAAGGAACAATTTTTGTTTTTTATAAACAAAAAAAGCATTTGTACTATAAATTAGATCGTATTTAAAGGTTAGCATGCATTTTTAACAAATAATATGATTTTTTAAAATTATTATATTTTAAATTTTGTCATAAATACATTGTTTATTAAAATCCTGTAACACAATTTATAAAATTTGTTTAATTTTAGTCGATTATACTTATAATATAATACTAATAATAGTATTAGTGATAATAATAATAATAATAATAATAATAATAATAATAATAATAATAAACATCTGTTTATTATAAATTCAAAAATTAAATCTAAAAATGTAAGAGATCACAAATTTTGACTTCCCATTTGTGGAAAGTCTTTAAAAATCCGAAAATGATTTGAATTTTGATCTTGATTTTCGTTTGTTTTAAATTATTCCAAAAATTGTTCCGATTTTTTTTCACTGCTCCATAAGGTGTGAGATTGTCATTCCTTATATTTAGCACTCTTTTAAAAATGGTTGTTTGTTTCATATCTTTTAATATCTTATCAACATCAATCCATATATATCATCAACAAAAAATCCTAAACAGGCGCGGATATTATAACCTTATCAAAATCAATTTAATATTTTATCAAAATTAATCCTTCTTTATCGTTAATAATTTCAGCAATAAAATCTTAACAAAATCTTTTCATATTTTACGTTGAGATAAATGTGCAAATCAAAACTGTGTATAAAAGGGTGTTTATTGATAGCATTTTAACGTGCAGAGAAAATAATACAGAGAAGTTTTAATGTAGAGAAAAAATATATAATACAATCGCTGCTAGCCACGACCGTTCGCACGTCGCCGGAAATGGAGGATAAAATGGGGCCTGCTGCTTCTGTCGCATGAAAACGGCGGGTCTGGTGCGCACAGGAGGCTCGCCGGCGATTCTAAAGCTGGGCCCGTCGGTGGTGATGATGGTGATGGCGATGGAGGAAAGCGACACTGATGGTGGTCTGATCTATGAGCGATGGTGATGAGGGTGAGGTGATGATGGCGATTGAGAATGGACTGGGGGAAGGGTTTTCTCTGTTCGATGAAGACGACGAAAGAAAAAAATAAATAAAAAAATTTGCTATTGCCGCTTAAAATAAATGAGCTAAGGGTTCTGATTCAATTAAAAGCCCTTTCTCCCCACACCTCTTGCCGGAAGATTACGGCCGTAGCCGTCGTGAAGGAGGCAGAGCTATTCGTCAGGAGAGCCCGTCTCAGCGGAGGAGGCGGCAGCGGCGGTTTTGGAAGTCCCGACGAAGGGGAACATCTGGCGGCTGGAAATTTTCATCTACAGTCGACGCTATGGGATGGTAATTGATTTGGAAATCAATTAGAAAGCGGATTTCTTTGTGGTGATTCAGTTTATGGATCTATTGATTACGTTGAGATCGCAGGAAAATCAAAGAGATTATAAATATGACTTTGAACGAGAGAGAGAGAAAGGGACAGAGTAGTAATGAGAGAGAAACAAGAGGCACTGAGGCACACCAGATTGTAACACCATTACTATTCATTTCTTTATTAATTTTCATTTTATTTAATTTATGCCATTTTATCGTTATTGGATTTGGTTTCGGGTTTTTCTAATTCTTTCACTGACATGGCAAGTGAAGTGGCGGTGCATGAAGACCTGGCGGGGTTTGGTTGGAAAAAAGGCGGTTCCATGAGGACAAACATAGAATCTCATCAAAGTAATATATATATATATATTATATATATGGTCAATTTGTTAGAAAAATACACAATTTTAATGATTTGTCATCATTTTAGATTTTTTGGCGACTCGATACACAGATTTAACTTCTGTTGACGAAAAGCTGATGTGACAATTTTATTACGACCACATCACATAGAAGTTTGACTCTGCAAACAGAAGTCAAATCATCATTTAGACCTTGACGGTTTAATACATCACTTTAAGCTTCTTGGCAACTCGATACAGGAACTTAATCTCCATTGACGGAAAGCTACCACATCAGCTTTCTCCCGTCCGAGAACCGTGCATCCCTATTATACTGGTTGTTGTTTTAGTGAAATCGTTTAGCTCCCTCTCTACGAGATCCTCCTCAATTTTCGAAAGAGTTGGTTTATGGAGATGGTCACATGAGCAAACATTCTCAAGAAAGATCTTACAACAGCATGTTTGGTTTTACGCTAATGGTCGATAAAATTGATGCAGATATCAATAAGGTGTCAGGACCACCAGTTTTTTTTTTTTTTTTTTTTTTTTTTTTTTTTTTTTTTACATAGACAAAACTATCATTTAATTAGTACGTAGTTTGCTTCTTTCTGATGGTGTCAAATGCTTTAAAACTATCATTTAATAAGGTGTCAGGACCACCATTTCATCAAATGCTTCAAATCATATGTCCTTCACTGATATTATAAATGGTATTACTTTTATATTTCAATTTATATATAGATCAAGATATTCTCACCTTTCATTTTATAAAATGACAATTGTTTTATAGCATATAAATTATATATTAAATTATTATATGTCAATCAATAAAATAATAAATAATTATTATTATTCAAAATTACTTTTATACTGAACAATATTGGTTCATTGCTTTAATATATTCAATTATAATTATTGCTCCGTGCATCGCACGGGCTACGTACTAGTAAAAAATAAAAACAAGAGAGAGAATAGAGTTATCATCAAGATTAAAAAAAAATAGAATAAGAGAGTAGAATTATAATTTTGATATTTTATCATATTTTCCTTAGTAATGATACCGCGTGTATGTTATAATCTTAATAAAGTTATGAACTGAATTAATTTATAATTGGTTGAGTTGTAAAGTAATTCATTATGTATTTTCTTTCTTTTAATTTTATCATCAAAATAGTGGACATGATTAAAATTATGAAAAATATTTCCACAATTGTAGTTAGATACGATATCCTAGATGTTTTGGTATGAGAGCCTGTGTGGGACCTATAAACATGGATCAACCCATGATTCCAACAAAATATCTTTATCAGAAACTTTTCACTGAAAATTTCAAAAGGATGTAATAACATTGAAATATTCGTTAGATTATCGTTGAAATCCTACTGTAATATATTTTCGTCGAAATTTCATCATTTTTCTTGTAGTAAAAGTAAGACTCTAAATCAATAAAAAAAATTTACATTATATATAGTATTGCGTGCAACTAATCATAATGATTGAAAATATAGCACATTTAATGTAATTTTCATTTAATTTATGATAATTAGTATTTTTTTCAAACCAAACAAGATACATCTAGGTTGAAAAGTCTTAATTATTTTATTACTATTATAGTAACTAGCAAGGGGTAAGAATGATGTTATGCATAATAAAAATGTAAGACTAGACAATGAGAAAACATATAGCTCGCATTCAATTCATGAGTAAAAAAAAGGATAAAATTAATTAATGTCCTATATCAGTTGGAGCTGGCTAATGAAAAATATAAACATAGTCAAGATGAACATTTATATGAATTATTCAGTTGTATTTTAAACGAACATATCAGTTGTACTTTAAACAATTATTCAGTTACTACATTAAAGAACACCATAATGGTTGTAACATATAACATATATTTTCAATTAATATGAGTTATTCAATAAAAAAAAATTCTAAACTTTTTAATCTTAAACCAGCACAAAAGTACATTTTTGTCAAATATATTATTATTATAAATAGATAAATAAGTAATATTAAATAGTATTTATCATATTTGATTATATTAGTTGTAGCCTAATAAATAAGATATTTTGAATATAATATCACTATATAAAGTATGTACAAAAAGATGATGCAATACGTATAAATGTGCTCTAATTCTTTTAACAAATAAATATTATTTGTGAATAGAATAAGAAATATATAAAGCGATAGTAATTTAATGGGAAAAGAAAAAGGTTGAATTTTCTGAGAGAAATATGATACCAATATCTAGAAATAAAAGTCTTTTAAAATTACTATTTTTTTTTGCTAGCGTCTAAATATATGAACATTGTAAAAAATTAGTTCTCATAAATAATGATCCTATATTATCAAGAATTTTAAATAACTAAAAAATAAAAACTTTGTAATACATAACATAAAATTTAATAATAACTTTGTAATAATAAAGTTCATTAAGCGACTAAGAGTATCATAATATAATAGTTAGCCGAGGATCATAATATAATAGAATTCTAATTCTTCTCTTCTCAAATATTACAAATGATATGCTTCTTAATATTGTCTCAATGTTTTTTTTTCCTTGTCCAAGAAATGATATTTATCTTGAATTTTCGAAGCATTATGTATGATGCAAAAAAATTGGACAATAAAAGCATTAAAGAAGATAGTAGGCACATAAGTACTGCAAATTCGAGAGAATGTGAAAGATATTATGATAAACAACGCTAAAATGATTTGCAAACAATAGATTATATAGTTCGTTTATCTTCCAAATAAATAATATTGAAAAAAATGTGATCAAAACATTCTTGAATGTTTGAATGAAATTTTCCCATTTTTATAGGAATATTTTAGGTATTTTGCTCGAATATATGTGCATTACTTTACAATACGTACTTTCATGTAATGTGATGATTTCAAAAATTAATTTAGCATCTCGAGATAAGTACATGTAACTAAGATTTTGGAAGTCAACTTTTATTTGGAGATGAAATTCATTCCCATCCCGTGGGGCAATGCCTCCATAGGGTAGGTACCAATTTGTCTATATTGACATAGTAATGAAGTAGTTTATACAATGATAAAAAAAAAAAAAATCAACAATTTAATGATACGATTGATTATTTTACAAAGTTATTCATGAACTTTTAGTAGAAATACTTTATAAAGATCATACAATAATGAAGTTTGACTATATGTTTGGCCAGAATACTTATAAGTGTTTGAATAAAATAGACGTTTGGCCAAATGAATTAAGTAAAATAACTAATGCATCTATAATATACATTAGGTCTGTATTTAGTTATTTTTTATTTTTTTTTTCTTATGGACTATATTTTTGTTAGGATTGTAATATGTTATTGCATTCTTTATATATGAGGACATCATTATGTTATTTTAAAAATCAGAAAAACTATTCATCACCACGTGCGATGCACGTGCACTATACTAATACTATTATAAAAGGACGATTGATTTTGTGAAAATAATGATCTGCCTAATAAACCCTTACCTTGACATATTTTTAATGGTAAATTAGTAATACAATAATACTCATCTTATCTTATATTTTTAATTAACAAATGAATTACCTAAAAAACCCTTATTATAACTTATTTTTAATATCAAATTAAATTAGATATCGCCAAAAGGCTTATGAGAAATTTCCGAGAACGTGGAAATTTAACAACAACACCACAAAACATTTAGATGGCAAGAAACTAGCCTATTTGTTCAAGAAAAAAAAAATTATTTTGCATAAAATAACCTACCTGATGGTAGCTAATTTTGGCTTCTTCAAAATGGCACTATAGGGTGAGCCCACAAATAGATTAAGGGATAAGGTACAAAAATCAACCCAAACATTAAAGCTTTGAAAGGATATATAATTGTTGTTTCGAAAAAAGTCCTTATTTTTAATATAATTTTATGTAAAATCGTAATCATATCTTATATATCTAATATATAAATTTTTTTTAAGGAAAATTGATCCAACAAAAATGGCATTTTCAACTATTTATTTACAATTTTAACAAATGATATATCTTGGTAAAAAGGATAACTTAATTGAGTGGTAACTTCTATACAATAAATAATTCTAAAAATACAAAGTTAACGTTACTTAAGAGAAGATACCTAAAAATTTATTAAAATCATGCGCCGTGAAATATATACATAATCTAACAAACTAGAAAAGTGAACAATTCATTTAACTACTTCATTATTTAAGAAAATAAACTCTTTTATTTAGAATTAATATATAAATTGAACCTTGGGATTAATGGGTTGATCCCACAAAAATCGTCATTTATTTGTTTGTTTGTTTGTTTTGTCTAATTTTGATCACAAAGTCAATAAAGTTAATGAATCTTCACTTGACCATTAGGTGGTAGATATCAAGGTGAATAATATTTTAATTATTAACACTTAAAATATTAAAACTTTTTCATTTAAATATAAAACTTTTAAAACTTGTACTTATCGTGTTGAGTCGAATTGTTCAACGCTTGTTAATTTAGTGGATTTAATGATTTCAATTACCATTATTTAGTGTTTTGTGAATTTTCGTTGAATTTTTTTTCTGACATATTTCAACTGTTAGAAAAACTGTCAATTGAATTATAAAAATCTCAATCAAAGTTCCATTAGAA